GCTATGGTTCAAGTAATAAACAGCAAAGAAAGTTTAAATCGAGACTTACCACGGGGCACCATATATTCGGAATCCTTTAACTGTTATCTCTGAATCTTGTAAGTAAATACTATTTGTCAGCAGTGACTGAACATTGTCAAAGTCCTCTGGTTTCAATTTGGACACAGAGGGAAAGCGGTAGTAATCTTGTTTAACAAGGTCTGCCATGAATTCCTTATCAAATGTCAGTTCATGATTCCCAGCAATCACTATTTTATATTCGTATGGTAGGTTTCCTGAAATAACAAAAAAGAGGACTTAATTAGCACATTTTCCTCCCACACCAGCATTGCCGCCACAATAAGTAGACAGCTAGCAGTGACAGAACGAAATACCCAAGATCTGTGTGCATGTCCATGTTGAGCAGAAGTTATTAATGCTGCTTCTCTTCCACTGAATGAAACTCCGTTAAAATATAAAGTAACGTCACACAAAGCAATGTTATAATAAAAAGCATTAAACAAAACAAGCTGGTAGGCACCAAACCAGCTCCAAAGGTGGCATAAACCACCACTGCTCCCTTGCTTTCAACTGATGACGCACTGATTTAGATTAGCCTAAGGTGTGACTCACAGTCCTACCACTTAATTCATGGGACTGGGTCAGAGTCAGCAGTCCTGAGCCCTAATCCACTGGGGTGGCCTGCAGCGAGATACCTCGCGTGTCTGAGTAGGTGGGTTACCAGAGACTGAGATGTGCCTCACTAGTATGTCCTGAGGGTACCAGCTATGGGGTACTGAATTAGGCTGCTGGTGCTGTTGCTTTTTATTATGCCATTATTTGGATGAATTCGTATGGAACCCAAAACATTTAAGTAGTGGCATTTACTCCCAGACCTAGCCTGTTCTCCAAAGCTCCAATTCACTTGCAGCGGACTTTCACTTCATCATCATCATCATTATTATTATTCAGTTTATGGTAGTATCTCATGTCTATAAGAAGCACACATGTAGAAGAAACGATGAAACTCAGGTGAAAAAGACATAAGGTAGGAAAAAGGAAATGTGGTTAATTCATTTACCGCGAGGGCCAGAGACAAAAAGTACAGGCCTGATGACCTCAAGTCAGGGCAACTATTTCCATTGTTTGGAACGAGGCATGGATCAGGCCCATGGAGCCAGATTTCTGGAGTTCAGAGACAGATTTTCAAGTACTTTGTACCAACAACCAGTGCCAGATCTTCCAAACAAACATACTGGGTGCTGAGCTCCCTTAAAAATATGGTCCTATACTGTGGTGTCTTCACAGAAGTTAGGTTCTTGTACAAAATCTGTCCCACTGTGACTTGCCAAAAATCACACGTAAGTTCGCATCAAAGCTAAAACCAGACTCACATCTCCCTTCTACTGTCTTCACCATAAGCCTGATTTCCTAGTCTCATACCAAATTGTTCGTTTGTTTGTTTTCTTTTTTTTTTTCTTTTCCATAAAGGCAGCAAAATGTTTGTGGAAATCTACGGGTCCATCTTCCAGTGCTGGTACTCCCAACATCTGCCTCGAGGAACACAGAATCAGACGCTGTATATTTCTCATGAATACAGTTCTCCTAAATAGATGTGGCTTTGCTAGTCTAAAACTTGTCTTTCAACTTTCAAAACTGTTTGGATTTGTGGGTTTTTTTTAAAAACTAAGTTTCAAAGTAAAGCTGTAAGTATTTCCAAGATTAAAGTTCCCCTAAGTAAGACTTAAGGGGAACCAGTCAAAATCCTCTGCTTTTCAATATTTACATCACAGAAACAGGAATTACACAAGATATGTACATAAACACCATCTTTGCAAAATTAGTTAATTCTGGATAGAAAAACAAAAAGCTGTAAATCCCCTGAAAAAAACAAGCAGACATCTTCATAGACACCTCACATCTGAACAAAACGCAGATCATACATATTCATAACTCTCTGCGGTGCTGCATTAGATTAAAAGCTGGGGGACATGCAATAAATGCTCCTCTACAGTTTATGCCTCGCTCTCTTCCCTCCCCTTCCCCCTCTCTGCTACATGCTGCTCTGCAATTCATTTTTATTTAAAAACTCGATGTGGCAGGTACCTACAGTTCCTGCTCTCCGTGACTCCTGGGCATAAGGTAAAATTGCTATTTTCTCCTCTCTCAGGAAACATAAAAGATACCACTGGCATGAAATTTGATACACTTGTCATAACTATCAATCCCCCAAAACAAGCTAGATGTGATCAAATTCTCGGAGAAGTAGGATGGAGAAGTTAAATTCAGGTTTCTGCCAAGTTATCAACATTTGCCAGTTTCAGCAGAGAAAGCGTCTCATCTTACTGGATATATGTTCAGGCTTTACACTTTCTCCCATGTATTTTGATAGGTTTGAAAATCAGCACATTTTGCTGATATGATGTCCAATTAAGTCTGGAACATTTTGCTTGAAGTCAATGATTTTTTTATCTTGACACCTTGAAAAAGAGTGCTTAATTTGAAGACACACAGGACACGAAAAGACAAACCAGTGGTGACATCAGTGATTATTAAAACATATAAATGTAACACCATACATGTTAATAGAAGCACCTGAAATCAGCAGGGAAAACCAAACAGTATTTACTGCAATTGGTGTCAAGACAGCCGCTGACTTTATTAAGACTAAGGAGAGGCTCCGCTTGGTCAGTCTGGAGAGCCAGGAAGGGTCGGGGGAGCCGGGGGCCAGGGAGAGAGGAGCCTCTCCCGGTGCCGCTGGCGAGCTCCGGACGTGGCCCCACCAGTGAAACCCAAGGATCAAGACCAGGGCTGAGGAATAAAGCGAAATGGGCCCTGGAGGAGAAACCCCACGGGGACAGAGCTCGCCAACACCTACCTGCAAGCTCTAGCTCAGCGGCACCGCGCACCCGCAGCCTGCGGGCCCGCGAGTAACCAGCGTGGCTGTGGGGGAACGGCTGCAGACCCAGGTCCCCCATCCAGCAACCAGGCGAGATCTGCTTCACTCCGTATTTGTGCATACTTTAATATTTACCATAGGATGGGCACCAAGGTCTGACCAGGCTCCCCACCTAGTTCCCCGACTTTATAACCAGTCACATTTTGCTGTGCTTTCCCGGAGCTGGCTCGGGAGCCAGCGATGAGCAACACCGCTCATCAAATGCAAGCACATCAAAAGCCAGGCCCAAGCAAAGGGGAGCACAGCAGAGGAAGTCTCATCCATTTCTTTCCTCTTCCCTGAGGAAAGACTACATAGCGCTAATCACAGTAATAAATTACCTGCAATCAGATTAGCTATTTATTCATCGCATGCAGGTTTTCCCTTCCTGAAAGGCCCTGTGGCAGTGCACAACATTCATTCTCTCTGATACAATTTATAAAATATTTTGGCGTGTTTTCTCGTGGCAGTCCTGCCCTTTGTCTATAATCTGCTGACCTTTTGTGTTTAATATGGAAGCATAAACAGTCACACACAAAAAATCTCCTGCTCTATGGTATTTTAGTTTCATCTTGACCAGATTAATCTCTGCATATCTACATCTGTGCTGTCTGTATAGAGAGAGATGCTGTAGCACAATACACAGGTTGAAAGGCATTTCCTCATTTTCCTTCACTAAATTTTTGTTGGCGACATTTGGTCTTTATTAGTCTAATTTCCTAACTATTAAATTTTCCGTCATGCATCAGTAATATTATTCATTCTAATTTATACTGTGAATCTGGAAAACAGAAGAATCACTTTCCAAACTAGGAAAAGAGTTTGATCTGTCTGCTGGGACAAGCACTTCAGAAACCCCAATTATCAATTCCCAGGGTAATAACTGAGTTTAAATTAAAAATACTTAAATGTTTAACAGGTGAGATCAAAAGGCTAAAATTACAGCTACTAAAAATGATTAGGGCACCAAGTCTGTGGAGTCACTTATACTGGAGTATTTGAAATCCTCTCTATTTATGCGTATATAGACGCAAAGGATGTGCGTTTGTATCTTCAATATATGTTTATATTATTTTGGCTACGATGTTTTTCAACATCTGCCCTGAACAGTAGAAGCAAGGGCACAATGTAATCATTGGTCAAGAAAATATTGCAATTAGACAAGTTGTTCTCTTCTGGAAGACAAAAGGTCAGTATCAGTCTTGCTCAAATAAAAGCAAAGATAGTTAACTGTGAATAACTTGTAAAAATGGGATTGTTTACAGTTAATACATTAATCTGGGAGTCTCGGAAAATTTCTGTGACTTATCGTTTAACAAGGCAACCCTCAAGCTACAGTCCCACGTACCTTTGTCCCCCAAGTGTTCATCCTCACTCCTGTGCCACCACTCCTCTTTGCCAACACAAGGATTTGGTGGCCGCAGAGCAGAGTGGATCAGGAAACTGATCCAGCTGAAGATTGATGTAGCAAAAAAGGAATGAGGCTCTGTGAACGCTGGTAAGGCAGGACTTCTTCTGGTGGCTGCAACCACTTATATCACTTCAAAGTGTTAGCTGAGCAACAGACTGACTTTTAATACACCTATTATACAGGACAAGGGGGGAAGCTGCGGGGGCGGTTGGTTTTTTTCAACCTATGTAAGTAGGTGTTCCAGTTTTTGTTTGGATTTTTTTTTGGTGGGGGTTTTTTTTGGTGGTTTGTTTTTTTTTTTTAAGTTCACCTTAAGTACTTGATCCTAGGAGTCCTTAATCTGTTGAACAACTGTTCCCGTTTTAATGGCATGCTTCATACGAGTACAATTTAGTCACACAACCCAAGTTCTGTAGAGCTGCCAGACATGAAAAGGAGTCTGACTGGCAATGAATGTTAACTGCTGAGTCCCTATAAAAATAGAAAATCACATTATTTTTCGACTACTGTTACCTACAAAACCCCCAGGGAAGTAGGGGAATAAGAAATAATGTGATAGTGATAGAAACCTGTATTTACATACAAACACTACGCAAGTGCTTTTGATGTGAAGCTCTGAATATGCATACGCATACATTAACTATTCAAACCACACAACACTTCCATGAAACATTAAGTGTTTTCATGCCCATTTCATAGCGTCATAGACCCTTTGGCCATATGTTGAGAAATGGGCTAAGAAACCTTGAAATACAAATCATAGTCCCTTCAAAACGAGGGAAAACCTGTACAAGTGAGATGCCTGTGCAAGTGAATCATCTCCTATTTATGGTATAACATATACGCTTCAAAAATGCAAAACTGGTCTTGGAGCTTTCACCTATAACCAGCCACATACACATCTAGAGACAAACACTGAAGGAGCAGCTTTTGTGTCGTTCCTATGG